ATTAGGTACTTATAACACGTTATACATCAACATCAATAACAAATCCTGATACTATCATTGATATATAATAGTAAACTTTAGAAGTTTCAAGTAGGTACCCATGAATAATATTATATAATCACAACAAAATAACTAGGTTTTTTAATGTGTAATTTCGTCCAAATTTGAACATAAAATGACTATAAAAATAAACTGTGATTGTATATTTTTTAGATTTTTTGGTAAAAGAATTTACTACTGGAATCTTGTTTTAAATTTTCAATCCTTAGCTATAAAAACTGACTATTTTATAATTTGTTGTAATTAATAAATATGATTAATAATTTTCGAGATTTTGAAAAATTCTGTTAAAATTCGATGTTTAAATGCTTATAAAAAAAAACTGTGCTTATGTATTTTTAATATTTTTCAACTAATATTGTAACAATATATCAGGAGCCTTGTATTACATTTTTACACTTTTTGGCCCAACAGATAAAACTTTATTGATATTCATAGAAAAAAAAACTAAAAAAATTTAAAAATGAAAATATCCGTAAACAGCTCAAAAAGAGTCAAAATATTTTCAAAATTGTATGGTGTATAGGAAATGCTTATACAAACATTCAGTGAAATTTTCATGTATCTATAGTTATTCGTTTATGAATAACAATAAAATAAGGAAATCGCTACATGAGAAATCGAGTGAACATCCAATGTTGTAAAAATTTGAATTTCAAACGCTCATAAAAATTTAATTTGACTGTCCGGTAGATATTTTTTTAATGATAAAGGTAGACAAACTTATGAGTAATCTTGTATTACATTTTAAAATCTTAGATTTAAAAAGAAAAATTTTTACGAATACTTAACTCAAAATAATTTGCTAATTTTCGTGATTTGTCAATTTTTGAACTTTAAATGCTTATAAAAAAAAACTGTGACTAACGATTTTTAATATTTTTCATCTGCCTTTGAAACAATATAGTAGGAACCTTGTATTAAATTTTCAAGTATTTCTACTCAACAAACAAAGTTTTATTGATATTTTTAGAAAAAAAACTAAAAAAAAATGGAAAATGAAAATGTCCCTAAACAGTTCATAACAAATCAAAATATTTTGAAAATGTTATCGTGTATAGAAAAGACAAATATAAACAACCAGTCAAAATTTCATGTTCCTACAGTCATTTGTTTTAAAGTTACACCAAAAACCAAATTCGATTTTGTCAAAAACCTATTTTGCGTAAAAATTCCCGTTTTTCCTTCATTTTTATGTTGTTTTTCCCGGCGCTTGTGAAAACTATTGGGAATTTTAAATTTTGACCTTCCCAATGCACCAACGATATTCACTCTCCAATCGAACAAGATTCTGAAGTCGAAAATCGAAGCATTATTTCGACTACTTATCGTGTACACAGACACAAAAATAAAAAAACACACATTATTGTAAAATCAATACATTCATCGTTTCACTCAGAATCTAAAATGTGCCTCGATCGATCCCTCGTACATGTTGTGGAAAATAAGAATATTTTGACAGAATGAAAATTGAGGTAATTGTTGCGACGTACTGTTGGTATTAGAATCGTATGTTTAAGTGAAAAATAAGCATTTTTTCATGATCACAATATTATTATATATTGACATGTGTGTGCGAGTGCGTGCGAGAGCTACAATTGACCCGCATGGACGCCACACACACTAATAATCATTTACGACTAACACATAGATCTCGGGTGGCGACGACGAGATTAGAAATTGCCTAAATGATTCTCCTTAAATCAATGCCTTTGCGAGGCCCCTTAAGATTAGCAAACATATCAACAGCTTCGTAATCTAAGACCACAGACTTCTATACTATATATATATTAATATATTATATATTTCTAATATATTAATATATTATAGAAATCTGTGTCTAAGACCGTGGCTTCAGCTTAGTAAATAGTAATACTAATTCGTCATAAGCCGAGGAGGAGCCAGTGTTTCCCAACATTTTAATAAACCGTGAATGTGTATTTAAAAGAGAATATTATCTGATTTCTGAGTACAAAATAGTAAATACAAATTTAGTATTTACCGATTTTAGCATTTGATCATCGGACAAAGAATTTGACAACTTCTTAAAATTTCTTAGAGTGGGGCATTTGCCATAGTCTGCCCCCCCCCAAATGACACCCCTGCTTTATCTATAAATTATAATTTACAAGCTCTTAATTAAAGCTCTTATTAAAATAATCATCGATTTTTTTTTAGGTGATTTATGTAGTATAATATCCTATAACGAAAAAAGTAATGGGGACAAACCTGAGGCACCTAAATAAATTCTAACTATCGAGGCCCGGGGGCCATGGCCCCCTGGACCTCCCCCCTATTAATCCGGGCATGAGCAACATCCTCGGCTTTAATAACAAACAAACTATACTTGAATAGGGGAGTGACGGGGATAGGAAAATGTCGGAAAGGCGAAAAATGGCATATTAAGAGTAAAATTTTTCAAAAAACGTTAAAATTATCATAAATGTTTGAAAAATTTGAAAACTGCTAAAGAAAAATCAGGATAACCGTCAGCTATGAGCTAAGGAATCGAAATCGAAGCGGAGTCGCGTTGGTCGTTGGTGACAAAATTTGATTTTGTTGATAAACGATAACACGTCGACGATGATAACAAAAACAATTTCTCTATTATTCGAATTTCGAGTTCTTAGCTTCTTGGTAGAAGAATCTGAAGAAAGTTCCTAATATAATAATATAATATTCAATATTCAATATTGATTTGTTTTTTATTCTATTCCAATTTTTGCTTATTGTTAACTGGTAATTTTAACAAGTGTATTAATGCAGTATTACGTTGCAACTTAAAATGTTCCTAAAAGTATATTCCTATTTTATAGGCTTGTTCAGGGAATAACTATAATACTCTGTTGTATTATTACTGTTCCATTTGTTTCATAAAATATAACACATCTAGGCATCTAGCCCATAGGAATTAGGTTGATAGTATTTCAATGAAATCGTAAGTAAGTTTACACATATTAATAAAGAAATAGTTGATTTTTATAGTTTTCTATTGTTTTTTGTTTTAAATATTTGGTTCTAGGTCGAGCATTAAAAGTGCAAAACTAGATTATGTCTACACTTTGTACGTTCGGGTAAAAAGGTACATTGCACAACGTGGATGCTTTGTACGGTTAGGTAAAAATTTTCATTTCAGAATGCAGACACTTTGTACTATTATAATATACATATAACATAAAGCATATTATATAGTGTAAATATAAGTTATATATCTAAGTAGTAAGTATATATAATGTCAATTATTAAAATGTAAAAATTAAAACAAAAAGTCTATTAAGTGTTTAAAAATATAGTATATTAACAATAATTAAAAAAATCAGTTTTTTAAATTAACTGGTTAGAAGCAGAAAAATATTTCTTGGTGCTTTAATATATTTTTAATTAATTTAAAAAATTGATGACCCTAAAATCTTGAAATTATCAAAATAATCAAATATGATTATAAATGATAATTGTATTTTATTATTATCAAATGTTATGTTAAAAAGTAAATTAAAAATGTACAGTATGTCGAAATGACAAATAAAAATTACTTTTGATAGGTAATAACACATGATTCTCTCCTATTTGGAATGTATAAGATATTAGATTAACCAAATAATATTTTAGCTTAATAACATGGTCTGATTGTGACTTCAGACTTGTTTATATTAAATATATACTTAATATATATTAGGATAAAGTGCCCATGTTCTGAAATTTAAAGTTCTACCTGATCGTATAAAGTGTCGGGGTTATGCTTTTTAAACAACCGACAGTACAAAGTGACCTTTTACCTAAATATTTGTATGCTTACATATTATAATAAAATAATTGGTTGTTGCTATTTGTTTCCATTAAATTATTATTTTTTCTCTCTGTTAATATTTTAATATTCAACTATTTGAAATAACTATTTAGATAAATGTAGTAGGTATATGTTATAAGAAATAATGAATTTTATATGAATACTAGCTGATCCCGTGCACTTCGTCGCCCGTTAAATGGATCAACTCAATACTACCTACTCAAACTTTGTTCAATTCATTAACGTGTATGGTGTTCAAAATTTATCTTATCTTTCCCGTTGCCCTGAATAAAAATTCTGAATCGCAGCAGTACATTATCAGGTAGGCAATCTACCTGCGGTAGATCGCGGACCCCGTGCTGTTTGTACGGAAGTGTATGATTTAACTCTAAAGTATCAAAGTTATACCAAGTTTATTTTGATGTAATACTGTGGATTAATATAATAAATTTGGTTGCTCGTAAAAAATCGCAACTCTTAAAAAAATTATGATTGTTGAACTCCTTTTGGGTGTAATTTTCTGCGGTAAGTGCAACTCTGCCACCCTGGTAAGCATTGTTCAATAATTCGATTTGATGCAAGCTTGTACCTGATCTGCCCGAATAACCAATGGCAACCAATAAATAAATGCTAATTTCTAATGTAGACTGTAACCAATGGCAACTATAAATAAATAAAAATAAAATTTCCAATTTCTATCGTGAATCTCAATGTCCCTGTTTCAGCACCTATTTAAAATGCGAATTTTGGCAAATCCTTTCTTAGCGCACGTCTATATTATAATAGCTATCTGTATGCCAAATTTCAGCCAGATCCGTCCAATGGTTTGAGCTGTGCGTTGATAGCAGTCAATCAGCTTACTGTTTTTTATATACAGATATGGTTGCCATGGTAATATGGACACACAGACACACACACTGACATACATTCATTTTTATATATATAGATTATTTTGTTGGAGACAGTGGCGTGTATCATAAAAAAAATTGGTTTTGCTCAAATAATTTTAGGAGACCTACCCCCAAGGGCGTCAGCAGGGGGGGGCAAGTAGGGGCAGTTGCCCCCTCTTGGCTTTTTTCTGGATTAATTATCATAATCATTATGTTATATAAAATATCACAAAATAAATATTTTTAAATTAACTTTAACAGATATGCATGCTAAAGTTGTAGCCAAATCTATAATAGATTTTTTGAGAAATTCTGGTCTTAAGTTAAACAATATGGTAGGACAAGGGTATGACGGTTGTAGTGCTATGTCAGGTATTCATAATGGTGTCCAAGCAATTATTAAAAATGAATTTCCTAAAGCTGTTTTTGTACATTGTTCATCACATAGACTAAATTTAGTAATTAATGATTTGAATAAACTTCAGCATGTTCAAAACTGTGCTGGGAGTATCAGGTCAATTATTAAATTCTTTCGGTTAAGTCCTAAAACAGTGTTTCCCAACCAGTGGTCCGTGGGCCAGTCATAGGTGGTCCGCGGTACCTTTCTTAGTTTTCTATTAAAAATTATTTTTTTTTTAAACAGCGAAAAATATTTTATTTTATCGTATACAAAAATCACACTAATAAAAATTTTCCAATAAAAAAAAAAAAAAAAAAAAGGTCTTCCCAGTTTGAGGTGGTCCGCAACCTATAAAATATTGTGAAAGTGGTCCGTGGTGGTAAAAAGGTTGGGAAACACTGTCCTAAAAGAAGAAAAAGAATAGAAAAAATTCCTTTGTTTTGTGAGACTAGATGGTCAGAAAAATATAAAACTATAAGAATTTTACAAAATAAAACAATATAAATTTTAACAATTAGAAATAATATCTATGGAAACAGGCGTTGATTCACAAACAAAAAGTCAAGCTTTTCAATTACATACTGCAGCAACTAAACCAAATTTTATAGTTTGTTTATTCATAATGGCAACATTTTCAGCTCAACTAGAACCAATAACTAATGCATTACAAGCAGTACAATTGGATTTATCTCAAGCTAGAAAATATATTAGTGAAATTATTGAAATTTTTAACAACCTAGATGCAAAAAAATATTTTCATGAGATTTTTAAAAAGGCTCAAGATGTTGCAATTAAGCTTGGAGAAAAAATAAAAATTCCTCTTATTGTTTCTAATCAAAATCATCTTTCTAATCATCCAATAAATACTCCTGAAGATTATTTTAGAGTCTCCTTATATCAACCATATGTAGATTCCTTAATAATGCAATTAAAACTAAGATTTTCTAATGAAAACAGTGCTGCTCATTCCTTATTAAATTTACACCCAAATAATATGAAAAAAATTCAGTATGATCAATTTTTAAGCATGATAGTTGAAATAAATAATTTTTATGAAATTGATAGTTTGGCTGAAGAGGGTAAGTTGTGGTATAATGTGTGGAAAAATAGAAACACCAGTCAAAATGAAACTAAAAATATAAGTTTTATAAGTCTTTTAGATGAAACAAATTTATATCCAACAATTCATACTGCTCTAACTATTGCATTAACTCTACCAGTTACTACTTGTTCAGTAGAAAGAACTTTTAGTACACTGCGTAGAGTAAAAACTTGGACTAGAAATAGTATTGGCGATAATCGCCTTAATGGATTATGCATGATAGCTGTACATAAAGAGTTTGTCATAAATCATAAATTGGAATTAATAGAAGAAATTATAAATGAGTTTAGTCTACTACCACGTAGAATGGAACTATTATTCAAAGATTGAATAGTTAGTATTTATTTGTTAGGTACCTAATATTTGTATATTATTTTGTTCTTAGGATGTTTCTTTTTTTTTTACTCTTATTAAAGGGTATATTATATAGTTATGTTTAAATATTAAGTTTTAATTTTAATTTTATGTTATTATTTATATTTTATACAGTATTATAAATACAGTTATACAGTTTTATAAATTTTACTAATACATTTAAATCAATTTTGTTTTTACTAAAATAATATTATAATAATGTTATGTTTTTTTTTAGGTAAAAAAAAAAGTTAAGTTTTTTCCAAACGGTTTGGTAGTTCTTTCTTTATTTTATAGAAGGTATGAATGTATACAAATGTAATTATATAGGTACCTAAGTAACCTAAAATTATCATATAAATGGTTATATTTGAATAAAAAAATCCATTTGTTAATTTAAAATTGTACATTAATTAATCAAAACTAATGATGTAAGATTAAGTACTAACTATCTACACATAAATAATAATTTAATATTTACGTTCCCTAACAACATGAGAGAAAACATGTCACAAAAAGTAGGTACTTTATCACTAATTAGATAATGAACCAAAAATTAAAATATTTTGCCCCCCCCTTGAAAAATTTCTGCGGACACCCTTGCCTACCCCTCATAATACTGTCGTACCGACCTATAAAATGACCTATTTTTTCATCTACCCACCCACCCATATTTAAGGTGTTACCGAACAACACTTGGACCCTATGTTACACACCACTGGTTATAGATAATTAAAATGTTGAGATACAGAGGAAAGAAATTAGCACTTAATATTGTAAAAGAATTGGATTTATTTCCTAAGGTTCAAGAAGAAATTTATGACCCATCTACTTAAAGTAATGTTGTACGTAAGATCACCATAAAAACATATTTGATCAAATTGTTGCGTTAATATTATTTAATTTTAAGTTCTGGTATTAATTTGTATTAACTATAATTATTAAATTGTTTGAAAACTAGTAGTATTATTATGATTTTCAGTGACAGTTTTGATTTCTGTGTTTGGATTTTGGTTATTGATTTTTGAAATACAGTATGTTTTACAAGAACATTATATACACAGATTTGTACCAGACACGGACTATGAATCTAAACTTCCAACTAACATAGATATTACTGTTGCACCAACTTGTGATAGTAAGATATTTGTTGTTTTTAAAACACTATAGGGTTTTAAATTAAATTTGTTATAATTTTTTTAAGTATAGGTTACAACAGGACAAAATATGAAGTTATTTTGAGAATTAAAAACTGGCGATACTTAGTGGGAAATGAAAAAAGAACAGCAACAACATTTCAAAAAAATGCTTGAATTCTATGCATATTTAAGAGAAGAATATCATTCAATGAAAGACATATTATATATGTATATATAATATATATATATATATATTATATATGTTTGATGATTATAATATAATATATTAAAAAATAAAATATCTATTAGGTAAGTTAAACATTTTTTGATAATGTAAAAATAATATAATAATATTTATGCCGGGTTGCATAAACGATTACTAAATATTGAATAAATCAATAGTGAGCTAATGTTCTCTTTCACATAATTTAGTTGCCCATGAAATGGTTCTTTACATTTTAATGGTTAAAATACTATTTTCATTATTGCAAAACAATTTTTTCTACCACTATTTATTGTTGGACAATTTGTTAAATAAGCTTATACGTATTATAATATAATATAATTATTGTGTATAAGCTATAAACCATTTTAGAATTAATATTGTATATTAATTATTGTTGTATAATATTATTTGGGTAACCTAATGTTCAAAACATTAAACCCTATTGTACAGAATCCTTTACTTGATGCAGCTCTAAATTTACAAAAAATAATGCTGACAATATAATTAAGAATTTCATGATCAAATAAATAACTAAAAAAATGTTTACTTCATTATAAAAACAACAAACCAATGCCTTGTAAGTTGTGATCAAATTTGAGTTCAGAATAACCAACATTATACTGTTTGCTTTAGTGTAAGAATGAGCAAACTGACCTATCGTCAAAACTTAGAAGTTGAGAAAATATTCTTTAAAAAATATTATCTGTGTTTGTAAATGTTCTTTATTTTAGGATATTTCAATTTTTTATGCATATTATGAGAATATGTAACTTATACGATTAAATAACATAACTTCAATTGAGATGATTATAATATCTTACTTTATATATTGAATATACCATATAAAGCTATGATATAAATATATGATGTTAACTTAAGCTTGATTATTTCATTCAACTCACTAATCCTAACTAAAACTAACCACATACGGTTGGCATTCTGCTGAACACAAATTAAAATTGTTTTTAAATTTTCAATCCTTAGATATAAAATTGAACATTTTATAAATTTTTAACTACCTACAAAAATTATTCATTTTAAATTTGATAAATGCTGTCAAATTGGATGTTAAAATGCTTATAAAAAAAATTGTGCCTATGTATTTTTAATATTTTTCAACTGATATTGTAACAATATATCAGGAGCCTTGTATTAATTTTTTACACTTTTTGGCCCAACAGATAAAACTAAATTGATATTTATAGAAAAAAAAAACCAAAAAAATTGAAAACTGAAAATGTCCGTAAACGGCTCAAAAAGAGTCAAAATATTTTCAAAATTGTATGGTGTATAGGAAATGCTAATATAAACATTCAGTGAAATTTTCATGTATCTACAGTAATTCGTTTTTTAATTACAACAAAAAAAGGAAATTGCCACATGAGAAATCGAGTGAATATCCAATGTTGTAAAAATTTGAATTTCAAACGCTCATAAAAATTTAATTTGACTTTCCTGTAGAGATTTTTTTATTGATAAAGGTAGACAATCTTATGAGTAATCTTGTATAAGATTTTCAAATCTTAGATTTAAAAAGAAAAATTTTTACGAATTCTTAACTCAAAATAATTTGCTAATTTTCGTGATTTTTCCATATTTTGTAAATTTTTTAACTTTAAATGCTTATAAAAAAAAAAACTGTGACTAAGGATTTTAATATTTTTCATCTTCCTTTGAAACAATATACTAGGAGCCCTCTATTAAATTTTCAAGATTTTTTAACCAACAAATAAATTTTTATTGATATTTCTAGAAAAAAAATGGAAAATGAAAATGCCCCTAAACAGTTCAAAATAAATCAAAATATTTTGAAAATGTTATCGTGTATAGAAAATGCAAATATAACAACCAGTGAAAATTTCATGTACCTATATACGTTCATTTGTTTTAGAGTTACACCAAAAACCAAAATCGATTTTTTGGAAAACAGATTTTGCTTAAAAATTCCCATTATTCCTTAATTTTTATGTGTTTAAACCCGGCGCTTGTGAAAACTATTGGAAATTTTAAAATTTGACCTCCCGAATGCACCAACTAGATTCACTTTCCAATCGAACAAGATACTGAAGTTGAAAATCGAAGCATTTTTTCAACTACTTATCGTGTACACAGACACAAAATATAACATATTTGGCCCAACATATAAAACTTTATTGATATATATAGAAAAAAAAAACTAAAAAAATTGAAAACTGAAAATGTCCGTAAACAGCTCAAAAAGAGTCAAAATATTTTCATTATTATACAGTGTATAGGAAATGCTAATATGAACATTCAGTGAAATTTTCATGTATCTAAATCAATACATTCATCGTTCCACTCAGAATCTAAAAACACACATTGTAAAATCAATATATTCATTGGTTCTCTCAGAATCTAAAAAAAAAATGTTTATATAGTTTTTATTTTCGGTTAATTTTTTGTGCTGTTCTTTTTTATTTTTCTTAATATCGCGAGTCTTAATGTAGATTAAGTATTTTCTGAAATGCATTTGTATTTTTCTTGCTTTGTATTTTTCTTGCTTTGTATTTCATGTAATTGTGCGTGTCAAATTCTATAATTTTCCTCTTTCTTTTCGAGTATCACGTTATTGTAAAACAGCATTTGACATGAAATTTATTCTTAAAAAATAAAACACTAGTTCCAAACCATTAATCAATAATAACACTCTTGGCTAAGCTTTATGAGGTTAATTGTATTGCTGTGTTCTTTTAATAGCAATACTAAACCATTTATATCCGATATCCATACTGAATGAATGATAATTTTTTTAATAATATATCTTATGTTTATAACTAGGTACTACAGGAAATCTATTTGTTTGCTTCAAAAATGTTTATAACAAATATGGAGCTACTGATTATGGCAGTAGGTAGGTTATTAAAGAATTGTTCACCTCCTGAGAATAATTATAGTTTGTTCTAGAGACTAGGATATTCCGATGATGAGTGTATACTGTGTATAGTAATTAGTAATTACTATAGTCTACAGTGCCGCTCTAACCACCAATAACGCCCTAGGGCAACAATATTATTTGACGCCCCTCTCCCTCCCACAAAAAAATCTTGACTTCACATTTTTAGCTTATAATAATTAACCACATACCTTAAATATGTTTAATACTTATTAATTCAATTTTTCTACTTATTTTTTTATTATTATTATTGGAATGATATTAATTATTTTAGATTCTGAGTGGAACGATGAATGTATTGATTTTACAATGATGTGTGTTTTTTTTTATTTTTTTTTTTTGTGTCTGTGTACACGATAAGTAGTCGAAAAAATGCTTCGATTTTTGACTTCAGTATCTTGTTCGATTGGAAAGTGAATATCGTTGGTGCATTGGGGAGGTCAAATTTCCCGGTAGTCTTCAAAAGCGCCGGGAAAAACAAAAGAAAAATTAAGGAAAAACGGGAATTTTTACGCAAAATCGATTTTTCAGAAAATTGAATTTGGTTTTTGGTGTAACTTTAAAACAAATGACCGTATCTACATGAAATTTTCACTGGTTGTTTATATTTGCATTTTCTATACATGATAAAAAATAAATTAATAGAAAGCTCCTAGTATATTGTTTCAGAGGCAGATGAATAAAATTAAAAATCGTT